CACGCCACAGTCCCTTTTCCTCCATTCTCCTCTCGGGATCTTGGGCACGCACACACACACACACCCAGCGTGAGTGTTAAGCCACCGAATCTGGGACGTGAACCGCAGTCGACTACTTGGGAGTCCAGCAACATAGCCATTAAGCTAACTGCTGGTTCCCAATGACCCTTTTCTTTGATCTACACAGGCTCACTGATCTCTCATCAAGATGTCCTGACAGCAGAACCAGCAGCAGTGCCAGGTCCCCCCTCCAAGTGTCCCTCACCCAAGTGCCCCCTAAAGAGCCCAGCACAGTGTCTGCCTCCAGCCTCCTCTGGCATGTGGGATATACTGGACAAATACTTGTGGAATGAATTACTAAAAGATGAATTCATGACTCTCCGGTTGACTTGATGTAGCCTAATCAAATCTAGAAAACAAATATTTCCTCCATTCCTTGGAACCTCGCTGTTAGGAACCATTTTTAGTGGCACAGCCATACTTTATTACTTATATGACTATGCTGGTGTCTCAGGTCTGAAATTTATTCATTGACCCTGCTTCTTTCTTTCCTTGCTCAGATTAGATTTATCAACAGTAACAATCCTGAAGGTGCTCTACGTCTGACTCAAAAACTCTAATTTTTTATAACATATTTTATTTTATTTTAATTCCTTTCTTTTCTTCTTCTTTTTTTTTTTTTTTAGAGGTTTTTGCTATTTGGCATGTGCGCTTGCCAGAAAGACAGAGAGAGATAGAGAGATAAAAAGTGAAAAATCACCCCCCAGCGGGGATGGCCACACTTCAAGCCCTTCTCCTCCATTCTCCTCTCAGGATCTTGAGTACACATGCACACGCACCTGGTGTGAGTTTAAGCCACCGGGTTCAGGACTTGGACCACAGTCGACTACATGGGAGTCCAGTGACATAGCCATTACACTACCTGCTGGTCCTGAGATAATAATTATCCTTATCTTTTTGGATGAGGAGACTGAGGCATGGAGCAGTTAGGTCATTTGCTCAGCTATGAAGCAATGGAGTCTCACAGTCTAATTCAGACTTCACTAATCCCCAGTGGCTGATGCACAGCTAGAACTTGAACTTGATTGACAAATCTGTGTCTCTATCCACCCTGAAATACATGTTGTTCCTATAAATCTGAGGCCAACCAGTATAGTGTGCAAGTGTTTGTGGCTTCAAGTACACAACATGGCTAAATGTGAAACTTCCCTGTTCTCAAAAAGAGCTTGCCCATGGTTTTTCTTTTTAGTGTTATTTATACATTTTTTTCATGATCATAGAAAATTTTGCTGGACAGTACCAACATCTAGATAATTTCATTTTATTTTTTAAAAATAATTCCTTATTTGCATTTAATTGTAATAAATCTTTGTGGCATACAATATGGTTTCTGTACTCTGTTATATATTTAAATTCTGACTTTTAAAGAGTAAAAGCCCCAGTGTCCCAGAGCAAGAAACCTGTCATATTGATTTCAAAGTCTGCTCAAATGTAAGTCCCTTAACTGTGGCCAATTTCTCAGTGATTCCTACTTCAGTCAACTGTGCAATCTGACTGGTAGAACAGATCTGGTTTCAGCCCAATCAATGTTGTTTTTGAGGTTTTTTATTCCAGTTTTGTTTCTTTCTTTTTTTTTAATCAGAACTTTGAATGACCCATTAGTCAGCCATGAAGTTAACTTAGCAGAAAATAATCAACCTTTAAAAAAATAAGAAAAAGGTTAGAGATATAAGAATACTTTGTATGTAGTAAGAGTCAGTATTGTTTCATAAATACATTTTTAAAAATATATTTCAAACTTGTGGTACTTGGTTATATGGTAAATAATGTTTTTAATTGCCGGAAAGCACATGTACTTACCAGAGAAAGATTGAGAGAGAAAGAAAAAGAGAGAGAGAAGAGAAAACACCTTTAATGAGATATGGTCACACCACAGTCTTCTATTCAAACAATGGTGGGCCATGTGGGATCTGGTTTCCTACCACGAGGTTATGGGACCAGCACATAAATATTTCTTACAATGGATATCAATAAAAAAAAAAAAAAAGTGTGGAAAGCAAATATAAAATGCTGAACTAGCTCTTGTTAACTCTCTAGTTATAAGTTTTTGCCTGGGTGCCAAGTTTTAGAATTTTAAGTAAATTTATTTAAAATTTCCTTCTATTTTTTTTCACTAATTATACTCAAGTAAATCAAGGGAATTACTTTGTAGCAATAGAAAATACTAATGGAATCTTAACGAATGCTTCCAGAATTATTATGAACTAGGCTATATCAGCTTACTGAAATTATAGCATTCTTCCTAATTAAACCATTTAGTTTAGATGGTTGTATAAGAAATAAACAAGAGGAACCAACAGTTCATGTAAAGGCTATGTCACTGGACTCCCATGTAGTTGACCACAGTCTGAGTCCTAGTCCCGGTGACTTAAACTCAGGCTGGGTTCATGTGTGTCCATGCCCAAGATTTCAAGAGGGGAATGGAGAAGGACTGTGGGGTGGCCATCCCCCGTAGGGGGTGATTTCTTGTTTTCTGTCTCTCTTTCTCTCTCTCTCTGGTGAGCACACATGCCCTCTCTCAAACAAAAATCTCTCAAAAAAAAAAAAAAAGAAACAAACAAACAAACTAGAATGTTTAGTTGCACAAGAGAAGCATATATATATATTTTAAAGAATTATTTTACTTAACTTTATTTATTTTAATTTGACCAGAGAGAAGGGAGCTAGAGAGAGAGAGAGCGCGCGCACAAGCCACCAGGTCTGGGACTCAAACTATGGTCGGCCATGTGGAAGTGCAGCACCCTTAGCCACCATGCCATCTGCTGGCCCAAGAAACATATATTAATAGTTCACAGGAAAAAGATTTTGTCCATACCTTACCTTTTTGTTGGGCCAGACATAATGAATATAAACTATGACTACCTATTTGTTCTATGTCAAGAAAGGAAATAGTAATTACAGCTCTTTATATCTCTCTCTCAATTAAAAGTGTTACCTTTTCACTTAAAGAAGCATTGTGCATATGACCTTTTTATTTATTAAGAATGATACAGGTTTAGCCACAGTGGTGTTCACTGCTAAGACACTGTACTCTCCAGGCTGGGACCACAGGAAAGACCTGGGTTGGATTTCTGGTCTAGCCTAAAGGCCAGGTGTGGTGGTGTGCACCTGTAATCTCAGTGACTCAGGTAGCTGGATCAGGAAGGTTGCAACAGTGAGGCTCTATCTTAAAACAAAATAAAACAGAAAAAAAGAAAAAAGACAATTGTTCTTCTTGCCTTTACATCCACTCAGAGTTAATACAGGGAGGAAATACTAATTGTACTTTGTTGTACACGTGGCTTCTTTTCTTTTGCAGTTGCTAACACTGTTCTGTAGGGTACTCAAGGTATTGAAGAGACTCCGAAAAATAACAAACAGGATTCTTGGTTAAAGTTGTACACTTGGCTTTTTTTTTTTTTTGCAGTTGCTAACACTGTTCTGTAGGGTATACAAGGTATTGAAGAGACTCCGAAAAATAACAAACAGGATTCTTGGTTAAAACAAGCTCACTTCTCATCTAGCTCATTCTTTTTTCTTTTTTTTTTTCTCACACTCACCCTCCACTCCCCACTCTCTACCAATCAGTTTCCCCACTTAGTTTCTAACAGTTATCCCAGTTTCTTAAGAAATTAAGTGAGCAAAACTGGTTTTCAGTTGTGCCACTTTTTTAAAAAAAAATTAAATAACAAAACCATTAAATCATTCAGTAATTCACAAAGTATCCCATAACATTTCCATGCTCAAACTCTGGTTTTTCTAAAAAATTTAAACTTTGATTATAGCACAGTTGTATGTTGTCTTTTCACCTTTTTAAGTTATTATGAGAACCATCCTGGCTTGACTCTAACAGACTCTTGTTCTTCTGCAATATTATTTCAAACATCTAGCTATCAAAGTGAGCCAGCACTTGTGGAGAATGATCATTTCTGTTCAGAACAGAGGTAAGCACTGCCCTATTCTAAGGTTGGGGCAGGAGCTCCCTAGTTAGGACCCTGTAGTAACTGCAAAATGGCTATCTCCATTTTTGAGTTCAAAAAGTAACATTCAACAACCAAAATATACATAATAACAATGAAAATTAGTTCAATTGTATCTCAGATCTTTTGAAAGCAATTTGTAAGTATGCAATCTGCAATCCCTGAGACATTTCTCATGTCTTTTTTTCTCTCCATTCAAGGCCCGTCATTAGCATTCTTACAATGAAATCCTCAATTCCAGTTACTTCAGAATTTACCGGCTTGGTTTCCTCTCTAAAGTCAATAATTTATTTGTATATTAACTTGATCTTCCTTCTTCAGACCTTTATGTCTACCCCATGCCCTCCAACCTCTTTGCCTTCATTCTTTTCCATTTTCTTATCTTCTGTAATATCCTCAACATAGTTTGAAGGTTCTAATGTCTTGTCATTCCTGTATTACACAAAAAAAGTCAAGCCTTTTTCCAAGAGCATTTTCAACAACCTCTCTCAACACTGCCTTCTTCCCCCCACCCTTTTCCCTCAAATGTCCCACAGGACCCCTCTGCATGAAGAAAATCTGACTAATTAATTCTCCAGCCTGGAACCTAAGTCGTTCCTGGTGCTAGGCATGCTCAGCCATCGGGAGCTGAGGGAGGGAAAGTCAATAAGCAGCCTTGGACGGAGAAGAGTTAAAAAATAATTATGTAAAACAAGACAAAACAAAAGTGAGATTCAAATGCAGTCAAAAAGAAGTTTTATTTTTCTACATAGTCAGATACAGGTGATAACACTGTCAGGGAGAGGGGAAGTCTTCAGGCTCTTGGAAAATGCACAGATAGGCAAGATGTTCCAAGATGAGTACAGCCCTCCCCTGTGAATATGTCAGCTGCTCAATTCAAGAAAGAGAGAGGAAGATGTCTAAGAAAGGATGCATCAAGTTGGAGCTTTTCCTTGGCCCTTGGGATTCTTTTTTTCCTTTAAAATTTCATCAGGATCCAGGTCAGCAGCAGCCTCCAGAGCTGTGGCCACATCCAGAGCCCCCAGACTGCAGTCCACTGCCCCGTTCACAGGAGTGGGAGCTCTGACGCCGGCATCGGTGGGACCTGTGGTGCCTGTGGTGGCTCAGACAGCAGCCAGACTCAGAGCTGGGCTCACAGCAGCCCCCGAGGCTTGGAGCACAGCCAGAGGAGGCTGCAGGCAGACACTGTGCTGGGCTCTTTGGAGGGCACTTGGGTGAAGGGCACTTGGGCGGGGGCTGGCACTGCTGCTGGTTCTGCTGGCAGGACATCTCGTCAGGAATCTGATCTTAAGCAAAATAATAGAAACATTTGAGCACAGACGCCTCAGATCATTATCTCCTCACTTGTCAATTTGTCGGATAGGTGTGCACCCCCATGACAAAGCTGCTTTCTAAGCCAAAGTCTGTGGGAGAGAAATGGAAACATGGAGGGGACAAATGCATTTGGATACAGCATCCTCAAGGATGTCTGATGGATCCATGTGCATCCCTGGCCACATGCTCAGAACAAGAATGGGAAGTAATCCTGCAGTCTTGTGGCTTCTGCAGTTCACAGCTCCCTGACAGTTGTCCAAAAACACCTTCCCCACCATCACCTCCCCGCTGCTGCCCACTATGGGCCTCTTCCTCATAGTTCAATTTCTGGTTTGAGCTTTTCTTTCCACAACACTCCCAGCTGAGAATCTGTCCCCTACTGGACACTCACCGGTTGCAGCAACAGCAGGAGAGAGGAGAAGGCTGCTCCTGAGGAGTCTGTGATGAGGAGCTTAGGACAGGAGCCTTTTTATCCTCTGCAGGGTTCGTGATGCACTTCCAGAGTATGCTGCAGCTTTCACAACCAGGGGAGGTGACCGAACCAGGCACTTCCCAGTTACCTGCCAGCAGTGTCTTAGTGTCTTCCTGGGCACGTGCCTGCAGATCTAATAAGGTGGAACCAGGATATCCTGTGACTGCCAATTTACTTCCCATTCTGGTCTGTCCCGGAACTGCTGCCCCACCTTTGCTCATCCAGTCACAAGCTCTATCCCTTTTTTTCACTTCATTCAACATTAGCAATATGGAGATTTGTATGGATGTGTCTTTCCTTGAGTACATTGAAGCTTAAATAGACCACCAGTCAGAAAAGTACATCTATTCAATCTGATGATAGAAGCACTCTTCCAGAAATGTTTACGATCAGTGCCTATCATAATCCCAAAAGACATAATCCTAAATGCAATAAGTTCCAATGGTAAAATACTGGAAGGTCAAAATCCCTAAATTTTTACATTCTTAACATCTAAAATTCTGAAAAGCATCACCCCAAAATATTAAAACCCCAGATATTACACTGCTCTGGTAAGAGTACAAGTTACTTAAAAGCAAACAATAGAAATTTAAAAGCTAATCATCAACTCAGCCATAGTGGCACTAGCAAGAGGGCACTGCTAAGGCCACATGGGAGAATGGAGTTCGGTTCCCAGCCCAACTTTAACAGTCCGGGTGTGCTGTTATGTACCTCTCATCCTAGCTGACTGCAGATGGGCCAATAAAGATCCTGACAATGCAAGACCCTGTTCCAATTCTCTTTTCCTACCACCACCACCACCACACTGTCTCTTGGGGAAAAAAAAGAAGTTTAAAAATTCATTATTATAGGTGCTGCATAAACAGAGAATCATTTCATTGTAATGGCCAAGACATATGTATATGCACATGTACTATGTATAAGATGACATAGCATATGGAACATGTAATAGAGAATGCTGATGTTGGTGTGTATCAAACCATAGAAGAATTTCAAAAAGAGGAGCACTACAGGGACTAGCAGTTAGCGTAATGGCTATATTGCTGGACTCCCATGTCGACTGCAGTTTGAGTCCCGGACCCAGTGTCTTAAACTCACACTGGGAGTGTGTGCATGCCCAAGATCCCAAGAGGAGAATGGAGGAGAAGAGACTGCAGTGTGGCCATTCCTCCACCCCGTGGGGTGATTTCTGACTTTCTGTCTCTCTGTCTTTCTGGCAAGCGCACGCACCCTGTAGGAATAAACCTCTACAAAAAAAAAAAGAGGAGCACGGAGCACTACCTAAAAATGAATGTGAACTTACTCTCTAAGAGTATGCCCTAAATGAAAAAATAAAAGCAGCTATTCATTGAGATGCAAGACTTCAAAATATATCTAATGATTGTGAAAGTTGGCCAACTGTTATGGATTATCTCCATGCAATTCCCCATAATTTATCTCTGTAATATACCTTTTCATATGTAAAAGTATCTTTTTAGCTTTTTGCCTGTTTGTTTTTGCTTGGTTGTTGCTTTTTGGTTGTTCGTTTGTTTGTTTTGGTTTTGGGTTCGTTTTTTTTTTTTTTTAGGTTTTTGCCATAGGGCAAGTGCAATTACTGGAGAGAGACAGTGAGATGGAAAGTGAGAAATCCGCCCCCCCCAGAGAGAATGACCATACTGCAATCTCTTCTCCATTTTCCTCCCAGAACTCTGAGCAAGCACACACACTCAGCATGATTTTCAAGCCGCCAGATCTGAGATTCAAACCCCAGTCAGTCATGTGGTAGTTAGCACCTTAACCTCAAGTCACTTGCTGGCTCCAATCTTTTAAGTCTTTTGTTTTGTTTTCCACTATTTTAAGTTGTCTGTGTTATTTTTTTACAGTTCACTAAACTATGTATTTCATCTTCACATCATTTTCAATACCAGAGATATAAATTATGTAAAGACTTCTAGAGAGTTCTACTTCATTTTATACATCCTTTGCAAATTTCTCTCTGTGAAAGTATTCTATCACAACATTGACTTTGTGTATAACCTTTGTGTACTTATATTTGTAAAAATGTTGAAATTTCCTCAGTAAGTGAAGATGTGTCCTTTTTATACATCTGTATTTGAGAAAGATAAATCCAGATCTTGGCTCACTGGGTGGATGCATATGTAATGGTGACTTATTGCAGTATTTTTTGTTTGTTTAAGTTTTGCTACACAGAGTGTGTGCTTTCCAGAGACGGAGACAGAGACAGAGCCAGAGAAAGAAGGGAAACTGAGAAAGAACCCCCCAAATGGAGATGGCCACCTCACAATCTCTTCTTTTCCATTATTTTCTCAGGATTTAGGGCATGCATGTGTAGGTGCCCAGCACGGTTTTCAAGCTGCCAGATCCAGGACTTGAACTGTGCAGTCTGTCACATGGGATTCAGAGTCTTAATCTCTATGCCATCTACTAGCCCCTTATTATATTTTAAATGATCTTATCAAAAGACTTAGGTTGACCAGATGTCCAGTTAAACAATTGGATGTATAATATTATCAGTTCTAGAGATATGTTTTTATTAATTTTAATTTTGATTTTAGAACTATTTCTTTATGAATATGTTTCATCTGCTCATAACTGTTATGCCCACATGACTGTCTCTAATATACATGTGTCTATGCTTCCAAAATATGTATGTTATTATGCCTAGTTTGTTGGGTAAAGTGTTCTGTCTTATTTTACATGTTTCTCAAATAAATTTTTATTTTTATTTTTGAGAGAAATTTTTGCTATAGCACACATGCAGTCACCAGAGAGACAAAAAGAGAGAAATCTCCCCAACTCCCAGGGGATGGCCATTCCACAATTTCCTCTCCTCCATTCTCTTGGGATTTTGGACACACACACACACACACACACACACACACACACACATGCACCCAACCTGAGTTTTAAACCACCAGGTCAGGGATTCAAAACGCAGTCAACTACATGGGAGGCTAGTGACGTAACCATTATACCATCTGCTGGTCCCCAAATAAATTTTTAAATATGTAAATAAACGGTTTGGTTTTTTAAAATAATTTAAAAATATTTCCTCAGAATTATATTTTTGGGATTTTAGACTTCAGGAATTTTCATCCTTTGGGATTTCAACATTTGGATTATGGAATTCAAAATGCTGTCTTTTGTGATTATGACCAAAGTCTATATCATAGTTCTCATTCTCACTTGGGTGATGGATTTTTGTGTATTTGTTATTTATATAATAGATGCTACTATCTATTCGATAAATATGTTAATTAAGATCTACCATTGATAAATGGTGAGTTTGTATTATACACAAAGGATTATTATTATTATTTTTTTTTAACATTTTTTTTTTTTTTGGAGAGATTTTCGCTAAAGGGGGCGTGCGCTCGCCAGAAGGTTTAAGTATAAGAGCTCTTCAAAAAGTTCAGGGAAAATACATATTGTGCATGGATTAAAACAATTGAAGCTCAAGAGAAAAAGAAAGAAGCAAACCACTTAAGGCACAAAGAAATGGAAAATTATCTGTTGATGATAACATGTATGATAATATCTTTAACTGGACTAACATGCAGTATATTTATACTAAGAAATTTCATTATATAAGCTGTAATGATATACATTGATTGAATGCATAACATTTTAAAAAGGAACAGTGTCATGCTTATAGCATATATCAAAATCTGACAACAGTGATGAATAATGATGTTCCAAAGGAAAAAAATCAAAGCTTTGCATTGATTTCATGGAATTTTTGCTCCAAAATAAACTCATACAAACTTCATAAAAACATGTCTGAACAAGGTCAAGTTAGAGGCACTAAGAAAGATAAGACACCACTTTGAAAAGAGCCCCTACCAAAGCAACATGAATTATGCTAAAATTGAAGAATAAACACAAAATGTATAGAGCTGGTTGAGTGGAAGAATGGTGAAATCGCTGCTCCTTGATGGAAAGTTTATGAGGACAATGCCCCCAGAGAAATCAGCAGTTTATAGTTTGTCTTAAGAAGGGACGAGATGATAGAGATATTAACCGCTATCCATGTATCTTCTTTATTGAAATATCTCTTTAAATATTTTCCATTTTAAATCATGTTCTCTGTTTTCCTTTTATTGATATTTTTAGCATTTTTAAATATTCTGGACACTAGTCCTTAGCCAGGTATGTGTTTTGCAAATATTTTCTCTAAATATGTAAATTTTCCTTCCCTTTCTAAACAATGTCTTTTAAATAGCAGTTTACTATTTTTTTTTTTAAGTTGCCAAAAGGCACATGTGTTTTCCAGAGAAGGACATGGAGACAGAGAGGGAGAAGAAGAAAACACCCCTTAATGGTTCCACTTCACAATCCCCTCTCTTCCATTTCTCCATCTTGTTGATACTTTGAGCATGCATGCATATGTGCCTGGAATGTTTTTCAAGTCACCAAGGCTGGGATTTGAACTGTGTGGTTGACTATGTGGTATCCAGCTACTCTCAACTATATGACTGTGAGG